TCTCTTTGTACTGTCAGTTCCAATACACAAGATCCAACTAGGATGTCTAGGGTGGGAGTGGAGGTGAACACTATTCCAAGTTCTTAGCTTTAAAAAAAAACACAAAACAACATTGAGATACTGCCTCACCCCAGTTAGAATGACTATAATCAAGAGCTCTAATAACAACAGATGCTGGAAGGGATGTGGACAGAAGGGAACCTTACTTCATTGTTGGTGGGAGTGTAAACTTGTTCAACCACTTTGGAAAGCAGTATGGAGGTTCCTCAAAAGACTCCACATAGAGCTCCCCTATGACCCAGCATTCCCACTTTTGGGCATTTACCCAAATGTTCACAAACAAGACCACACTAAAGCTACCAGCTCGACTATGTTTATTGCAACATTATTTACCATAGCTAAGATATTGAACCAACCCAGATGCCCCTCAGTAGATGAATGGATCAAGAAAATGTGATATATATATATATATATATATATATGTATACACACACACACACACACACACACACACACAAACAATGGAATTCTATGCCTCCATCAGAAAGAATGACATTGCCCCCATTTGTTAGGAAATGGAAAGACTTAGAAAAAATTATATTAAGTGAAGTAAGCCAGGCCCAAAGAAACATAGGTGGGGGGGGGCAGGAGAAGGATTGGGATTGGGGGGGAGGGGGGAGGCTGGGAAGGGATGTGAAGGGTAAACCAAAGGAGGAGGCTGCAATGCTTGGTAAGAAATGTACGCATTATCCTGCCCATGTAATTGTAACCCCTCTGTACAGTATGTTCACAAATAAAATTAAATTAAATTAAAAAAAATAAAAAAATTAAAAAAAAGAAACATAGGTCCCATGGTTTCCCTTATTTGCAATAATTAGTATATGTTTGAGTCAAGCAGAAAAGGTCAGGGAAATGAACCCTAAGATATGTATTCAAATGTTTTTTCTTTCATGCGATTGTTTCTAATACATTTATAAGATTATTTCTTTGTTGCTTTGTATGTCCCTCCCCCACAGTATAACCCCTGCTTTCACTGTATTTGATGTTGGTATAATTTGTGGAAGAGAAGGGAAAAAACAAATAGTTTAAATAGTAATACAGGTGGACCCATTGCAGCAATGAGATGTACAAGTTGTTATGTCAAAAATGAACTTTACAACTTTGGTGGTGGGGGGGGGAGGATTGGGTGGAGGGGTGGGGGAGGACGGGAAGGGATGGGAAGGGGAAACAAAGGAGGAAGCTACAATGATTGATAAGAAATGTACTCATTATCTTGCCCACATAATTGTAACCCCTCTGTACAGTATTTTCACAATAAAAAAAACCCACTTTTTTTTTTTTACTTCTGTGCTTTATCTACACTGAAGCAAGAAGAGACCTTTTGGTCTGGATTGCCAACAAGCCTGAGTTTATTCCAGCTTCTCAGTATAGATCGGTCTCTGATGTTGTGGAGTAGGAAAGCAATCTGAGTATTGGCTTCATATTACTCCTCTAGTGAGAAAGGGAGTAATGTTTTGTCACTTGTTACAAGTTGGGAAATAATTTAATGCAACCTTACTTAATGAAGCAAGTTAAAATTCCATGCCCTAATTCTGCATATGGCGTCAGCTGAGCTAAGGACAGCAGAGTCACAATCCTTGAACTCATCATTGTTCTTTGTGAAATCGCATATGTTTCTATCCTTCCTCCCATCTTTATTCCTTTCTTCATTGCATTCTCACCTACAGCTGATGCCTCTGTTTAGTTTTCATTAGTTTTTTTAAAGAAAAGCATGTCTTTTATAGATAGATATTTAAAATTATGGTTAAATATAAGGGAGGTAATTAGTATTGCCCACAACTAGTTTGTAGGAGGTAATTTTAAATTTTCCTAAGGATGTTTTGGAATTTTTCACTTACTTGAGCTTATATTAATGTCAATTTTGTGTCCTGTTTGATAAACATTCTAAAATAAACAATTGTAATATCATTAGAAATCCATCATAAACATTTTGATTCCAAAAGTGGATAATAAATATGACTCCTCTCTCAGATTTCCTTCATACAAATTCCTTCTTAGATGTATTGGAGGAGGTAAATATGTTCATCATCCTTTCCCAATAGTGCATCAAAATTATACAGCCAGATGAGAGAGCTAATTTCATTTCACCCTAACCAGTAATAAAGGAATATTTGTTTCTAAGCAATCTTCATTTATGACCATAGAAGAGGAGATTCTATGTTCAAAAATAGGTTTTTAGCCAGGTGCCAGTGGCTCGCGCCTGTAATCCTAGCTACTCAGGAGGCTGAGATCTGAGGATGGCGGTTCAAAGCCAGCCCGGGCAGGAAAGCCCGTGAAACTCTTATCTCCAATAAACCACCAGAAAACCAAAAGTGGCACTGTAGCTTAAGTGGTAGAGCCCTAGCCTTGAGCTGAAGAACTGAGGGACAGCACTCAGGCCCAGAGTTTAAGCCCATGACCAACAACAACAAAAATAATAGATTTTAAAAATTATTCTGGAGATTGGATCTTTAAAAATGCAAGTAAATCTAGAACATATTAAATCTTCTATGACAAAAAAAAGATATGAACACATTTGTGCTTCTTCATTGAGTCAAGGAATGAAGGGAGACAGTATATGAATCACTTCTAAAACTGATATGTAAGAGTTCTTGACAGGAATCACGGAAACCATTTCTGGTTACCTTCATCAGAACAGCAATATATTTGAAGAGCCATTGTGTACTGGACCAAAGAGACAGGGAGGTTAGAAAACCAGCCTCACCATACAAGCAAGGAAACTTGTCAGCTGGAATCAGAACAATTCACACCTTCTATAACACTGGTGCCTCAAGTGGTGGAAACCCTGGATACTTCTGGCATTACTGTCACTGGACGCGAAAGTTACTTCACAGATAATAGAAATATGTATAAAGTGTCTCTTCTTAAATAATTGATTTCAAGATCAGTTAGGAGCCTGTAGTTGACTAAAATTAGGTCAGATGATGGTGATCTAGCTGACGGGGATAGTGACAGTGAGTCTTGGACTATTTGACTCTAACTTCTTTGGAAGTTTTTTGATTTGTTTTGAGACAGGACTTCTCTCTGTTACCTCAGCTGACATCAAACTCCTAGATTTAATATTTTTTTCTGACTCAGTCTCCTGATTAGCTAGGACTAAAGTCCTGTGCTGAGCTATTGAGTATTGGGATGTCAAGTAGTAAGATCATCCAGGATCAATGACCCTTATGATTATGTGTATGGAAGGTTTTTGTTTCATTGTACTTTTTAAGAATGTGATTAGTCTTCTTAACTATCACTGATTGTATATTACCTAGTAGATAATGCGATTATCCATTCCAGAACTACAAATACCTCAAGTTCCTCAGAGCAGTAGGAAGGAATGGATGGAAGGGGCGGGGATTTCAGGAAAAATGGAAGAGCATTTATGCAATGTAAAGTAGGTAACTGCTATAACCCACCTTCCATCTTACAATTTTTCACAGAATACCGAAAAGCTGAATGAGAGGGTTGAGAAAATTATCTTGATGGTAAAGCTAATGAATAGCCCACAGGAAGCTTTTATTGACTCCCTAGCACTCCAAACAAATACACGATCAAAATAAATAATTTGTAATATCTGAATTGGGGAGAGAGGGAAATTTCCTAGTTTGGAACCCAAATCAAAACAACATTGCTTTTTAAAATCTACGTTGCAGGCTGTCTCCAACAAGCATCTTAAAACCTAATGTGTCAGTGCCGGCCAGAGGCTCCCTCCTGTGATTCCAGCTGCTTCAGGGGCTGAGAATTGAGGATTGCTCTTCCAAGCCAGGAAGGGAAGGAAACTCTGTGAGATTCCAGTGAACCACTAAAAAGCAGAAAGTGGAGTTGTGGCTCAAGTGGTGTTGTTCTAGCTTTGAACACAAAAGCCCAGGGACAGTGCCCAGGCTTTGGGTTCAAGCGCCAACGTCTGGTATACACACACACTCAAAGTGGCAGTGATCATGTCTAAGAAATACTCATCTGGCTGCAAGACTTTAAGTTTAGAAGAAAAGCCAGTAAGCTAGCACTGGACTCTGGAGCTAGCCTCAAAAACAAGGTCAAGAGAAGGGCCTAGATTTCATCCAGTAGCAGCAGAGTTCCGAAAACGTTTAATAGAATCCATTCAGCCAGTAGTAACAGCTTTTGATGTCTGAGCAGTGTTTCTCCTTTTCCTCACCCCCTCCTCCCATTAAATGCTAGCTTCTATAATTTTCTAGGTTCGTAACTGGAGATAAATACCCTATAGTTCTCTGTGTCTTGCTTATAAAAATAATAAGAGCGGCTTTTATGTACAGGGCAATAGCAGATAAGTAAGAATGCACGTATGAGGTGCCTGGCCTGGTGCCAGGGCCATATGTAAAACACAGCTTGTGATACGAATACTACAATGATACCCGGGAGCCACCGCCGCCAGTTTGTATTTCTTCAGCACGCACAAGTGGAGGGGGGAGAGCTTAAACCGTTTCACGGTGGGCGTCCCCAGTCACAGATCAATCCTCTAGGAAATGTAGATGCCATCATCCCCCCAGCCCTATCCTAAGTCCGTTTCCCTGTGGGATTCAGCTGACTGCTGGGTGATCTTCAGGTCACCCGCCATGCCAGGAGTCCCCTTTTGAAGAAATTCCCGGTGGGGGGACCGGCGCAGTGCGGGTGGGTGGTGGGGCAGGGCGGGAGGAGCGCAGGTTCATAGATGGGGAAACCGCAGGCCACCTTCCACTCTGGCCCCGGGCGGTCCGCAGGGACCGGCTGCCACCTGCGAGCTTTTCCTGCGGCGCGCAGGCGGCCGCGGCGGGGAGGAGGGGGCGGAGGCAGCGGCGGAGGCGGCACCCGAGGCCGGCGCCCTCCAGGCCCGGGAGGCCCGGACCATCTCGGTGGCACATTCTTTTTCTGCCGCGGCGGCGGCGGCAGCAGCAGCATACAGGTTCAGAGTCGTTGGGCCTGCGTGCCAGGACCCTGGGGGTGAAAGTGAGACCACCCGGAGGAGGAAGAAAAAAAGAGGAGGAGGAAGGAAGCCGCACGCTGAGAGTCCGCACCGGCGATCCGGCAGGAAGCGCCGCGCCCGGACGATCGAGTAGGGCGCCCCCGACCTGGGTTCCATTATCTCCCCCGCTGTCTGTCGTGCCTTCCAGCAAACGCCACCGCGGTCGGGGCTGTCGGGGCCAGACGGATGACCGAACCACGCGGCCGGCGCCGGGGCCGCCGCGATCACCGCCCCTCGCGGGCTCCGGACAGCCAAGGCTGCTGGCGGGTGAGTGAGGGGGTCGCAAGCGCGCGCGTGCTGCGCGTGATCGCGCCCCAGCGCCTGCGAGCGAGCGAGTGTGTGCACACCGGGGGCCCGTGCCCGGTGGCCTCTTCCGCTGACGCCAGCCCGGTGGCACGCTGGCTCCCGGTGGAGGTGCGCTTTGCTTCCTGCAGGCCCGGCGGTCCGGCAACCTCGGTGCGCCCTAGCAGCCTGGGCGCACCCTTCTGCCTGGCCTGGGGGTTGGTTTCACCTTGATGATGGAGAAGGATGGCAGGAAGCTGATGGGCCTGCTGGCAGTGACCTGGCTTGTGGGTGCGCATGCATGCTTTGCTGTTCAGCTTTGGAAATGGTGTCAGTAATCGGAGAGAGAGAGAGAGACAGAGACAGACAGACAGACAGACAGACAGACAGACAGAGACAGACAGACAGACAGACAGAGACACTGTCTAGAGACAGAGACAGACAGCGCACATCACATTGTTTTCTGTTTCTTTACGTAAGCTGAACACAAAGGGAAGAAAAGGAGAAGTGAGGATTGGAAAAACAGAAACCTTTATTCCTGGAGGGGCTAGTGATGTGGTTTTCTGTTTTCTCTTACAAAGGACTCTTGAGACAATGTTCTTTTTCTTGAATAACTTAAGCATTTTGCTGAAAGCTTCCAGTGAAACAAACAAAAGTGGAATGTAATGGAAACTTGAGTTTTCAGTCCTCTCTAAAACAACCTTCTTCCCTGTTGACAGACAAGAGCTTGAAGAGCTGTCAGTACTGAAATTTTAAAGGAAGTTAACCAAGGAACCTAATCATTCTGAAAGAGAACCTGAGCTAAAGAATTGGGGGGGGGGGGAATCTCTAGGGTTGATGACAGGGTAAGAAAGTGGTTGTCTTACTTTGCAGAAATCAGTACTTGGAATCAAGTAAAGCAGACTTCTTTCAAAGTAAGATTGGGGAACATAATGCCTTTCGTAGCATCCTCATCTTCGAAGAGAAAATGAAGTTGTGGGTTTTAAGATCTATCTATAAATATAGTAGATGTTAGTAAGATGCTGATTTATAGTCTCATGATTCAAGGCTCTGTCAAGGTCAAGAACACAGATGAGTGAAAACTGAATATTTGACTTCTTGTTTCAATTTGGGGGAGGGAGACTAGATTTTCCGTGATGGTTTCACACAGAGATTGCTTTATTCTTTTTTTTTTCCCCAGACTTTGTGTCATTTGGTTATTTTATGTCTTCATAATAGATGCTAAATTGAACTTTGAAAAATGCACTATAGACTGGGCATTTTGTATGTTTATGTTTCTTTTTTATGCAAGGTAATGTTTTTCTTTACCATAAGATCCCTTAGAGCACCTTTATTCAAAGGCATAGATTGTTATTGGGTTGGACTTGGCCCATGAGTGGTTGTGCATTTCTGTTTCATTATACAGGCAGAATTCTTTTTTCCCCTACCTGGGAATCAGCTTCAGAAGGCATGCTGACTGTGATTTATACATCAGTGCTTACAGAAAAAATTATTGTTTTGCTTTTTTATTTTGTACCTCTTTTATAAAGTAAGCATCATTTAATCGATAAATCAGATTCTAAGTTTTTACTTTTATCTCAGTGCTCAAGGCTACTTCTCTGCCTACTTTTACATTGTTTCATGAGATTCTTCTTGCCAGGTAGAGGGACTTGGAAGGAATAATGAAGGAATCCATGTCCTGCTGATACCTTAGCAGAGATTTGCTCATGGAAATAAGGGAGGGTTTGAAGTTGGTTCCTAAAAAGGACTGGATAAAAACAGTTAAATAATTATTAATAATACTTACCTCTTTTAACTTCAGGATATAGAATTTAATTTCACTTAATTAATGGCCTCTGTTCCAGGTCTACTTATAGCTATAGTCCAAGGAATGAGATTTCATTTTACAGGAAAGTAAACCTTAACAACTTTTACTCAGCATATGAGAAGAAATAGCATAGACACTGCTGAAGAAGTATCAGGGACACATTTTGTTCATCTGTTGGTTTCTGATTCTGTCTAGTACTATAACTTTTTCTTGACCCTGTTAGAGATTTATAGGGGACTTCAATTGAAGCTATGAGGAATGACTCATGGCTCTTCTTGAAAGCACAAAGTTCATTTTCTACCCCTTAGGACTGAGGGGTTACAGATGTTCAATAAATATTTGTCAAATGAGTAACAAACTAAACTCTTTACCTTCTCAATTTAATTACATAGACTCTCCTGGAATTATTCCTTTTTAGTTATAATTTTATATGGAGCACTTCATGAAATTGAAGCCCCAGTTGGCATATTCAACTTGGCAGACCAATTCTCAACAAAAGAAACAAAATCCATCCCTCTAAAATCATACACACACACACACATCACAGAGAGAGAGAGAGAGAAAGAGAGAGAGACAGAAAGACTGAGAGAATACCACTGTATTGATTCTTTTTAACTTGATTGTTCCAGTTCTCTGAACTTGTTGTATGTGTGTACATTCAGAAATTCTGAGCTGACATCAGAATGTTCAACTCAGGAATTATCTGGATGTTGCCACATCTGGATGTGGCTTTTATCTGACATTGTTTGCATTTCTAAGCAAATTAGATGAACTTCTAGTACCATCCTGCATCTCCTAAAGCCAAGTACAGAGGTCAATTTAACATTTGGCAAATTTCTAAGTCTTCCAAACACATGTTGTTTAATTCTTTTTCTAATGTTTTATTTAAATCATGTTATTCTGATATATTACTGTGGTTGGCTTAGGGACATCAATTTGGTTACTTAGTAACTTATGTTTAGTAAAAGCAGAACCTTAATAGAAGCACCAGTAACCCTTCCCTTCTGATTTGCTCTAATTATTTTTCAAGATATTCTTTTGGAAGTGGATACATTGTTTGGTCTGAAATATTAAATATTACTCCTTCTTTTGGTTGTACTTCCAACTTTCCATCTCCAATCATTAGAGGTTTCCCCTGTGATTCAGGATCTAAATTACATGAAATGTACCTACCAATCAGCATTGCACTGTTCAATAATCATACAAAATTTCTTTCTAATAGTCATCACTTGCATGCTTCTCTAATCACACTTTGTTTTATGCTGAATAAAAATAAAGTGAGACTTGCCAACGTTTTTTCTATTATGTTCAAGAAGTAATAGATTGAAAAACTGTGTAACGGCATTCTGCAGTAACTGAAATGGTGCTGATCTCTTGATGATGAAGCATAGTCATTCATAGCCATTATTTATTTGATAAGTAGAGAGTGGAGCACTTTCATGAGAGTTAAAAGCCTAGATGCTCCATATCTTTAGTTAAGACTTTTGAAAGCCAAGTGGTAAAGTCTTAATTTTATACAGTAGTCAATTATACGTTCCTTGAAAGGCAGTTACGAAAGAGTGTTTCTATAGGTGCACTTTGGCAATTGTGTGGGAGTGGATGAGTAAAAGGAAGGAGGGGAGCTGATAACCTGGTATTAGATGATAGCAGCATGATGAAAGATCCAGGGACACTGAGGTTGAGAAGGGAACACTTCCGAAAGCCAGGCATCAGAATTTGTTGTCTTATATGAAAAAGGGTACAAGTGCAACTATCTGTTACACACCCACTCAAGCATCAACAGTAGATCACAACCCTCCTTTGCTGCTGAAACATGAGGAACTCCAGAATCTTGCATATAGTTGGTAAATGTTTATTAATATAGTTAGTTATTAGACATGTGCTATGTCAGAGACTACTTAACTTTATTACCTGTCTCAAGGAAAATGAAGTAGCTAGAAACATGAATTATTTTGACTGCTTACTATCTGTGAGTTCTTGGGCAAATCATTAACCTCTCTGACCCTTGGGTTTTTTTTTTATCTTTCAATTGGGTCTGTCTGCTTTCTTTCTTTCTTTCTTTCTTTCTTTCTTTCTTTCTTTCTTTCTTTCTTTCTTTCTTTCTTTCTTTCTTTCTTTCTTTCTTTCTTTCTGTCTTTCTTTCTCTGTCCTTCCTTCCTTCCTTCCTTCTTTCTTTCTTTCTTTCTTTCTTTCTTTCTTTCTTTCTTTCTTTCTTTCTTTCTTCCTTTCTTTCTTTCTTCCTTTCTTCCTTTCTTTTTTGTCAGTCATGGGGCTTGAACTCTGGGCCTAGGCTCTGTCCCTAAGTTCTTCAACAAAAGGCTAGCGCTCTACCACTTGAGCCACAGTGCCCCTTCCTTTTTTTTTTTTTTTCTGTTGGTTAATTGGAGACTTGTCTCACGAACTTTTCTGCCCACGCTGGCTTTGAACCATGATCCTCAGATCTCAGTGTCCTGAGGAGCTAGGATTACAGGCATGAGCCATCAGTGCCCGGCTTATCCTGGTTTCTTTTACTGATGCTAAGGGATACATGAGTGGGTTTGTCCTCAAGAAACTTCAGGGTTCCAATCATAGGTATAGTAGGCTTTGCTATCTTGGGTATAAAATTGCTTCTCAGAGGATTGTTTCTTTTTTCCCATTTTTTCCTTTAATGTTTTGTTGTTTTTAAAAATAATGCTTTTCATTCTAATTTATATTTTCTCATATGCTTTAAAAATGGGTTCTTTTTTTTTCCTGCTTGGCATAGTTGCCATGCATCTGTCCTTATATTCAAATGGCTCTGCTGAAGACAAGGAGGTGTATCTCCAAAGTGTACTCTATCCGATTCTAGAGCAAGTGTCAGTATTCCAGGGACCTTCTGTGCCATCCACCACTCTCCAGAATTCCAGAGTCCATGTGTTTCCTTCATTATCATGAAGAGATGGTGACATTTCTAACCATTTTTATTCAGCATATTTGTAATATTTAGTAGAGTAACAGGAAGGTGAATCTTAGCTGTTCTTTGGCTTTGGTGAAGTTGTCCAATTAGGAGAGGCCAAATAGTACCGTGGTGGAGGGACATACAAATCAACAAAGAAATCATATTATAAATATATTAGAAACAATAGCAAGGAAGAAAAACCATTTTAGTCCTTGTCCCTCCTCATGGTATAACCCCTGTTTTCACTGTATTTAATGTTGG